CTCTCTCTCTCTCTCTCTCTCTCTCTACTACACACACACACACACACACAGAGCATAAAATCGCCGCCACATGGGTGAATGGGGAGCAAACTGTGCTCTTCATTGGGGCAGGCCTGTCGCCCGGCCGGAACCTTGGACGTGGACGCTAACGCACCCTCTGCCCGTCTACGCCGCCCACACAACGGCCTCAGCACCGCCCACACACCAATATCAGACGGCTCAGCGACTACGCTGTTTCAAGAGCTTCCCCGCGGAGCAGCGCGAGGCGGTAGTGGCGTCAGTCGCGGAGGCGTTTGTTGCGTCGCCCCCCCCCCCCGGGGGGGGTGACTAAATAAAGCGAGCGCGGTTTACTAGGGGATCACCGACTGCGTCGGCATTTGGTACTCCATTGATTGACCTGCCACCCACCCGCCGTACCAGCGACCGCCTGCCGCGGGTGTCATCTTACAGCACTGTGGGGGAGCGCCCCTCAAACTGACCGCGACGGTGTGATGTGTGATATTTCACCTATTGGCTGCCCCAACGCATCGCGGTGCGGCCGCCGCCGCGCATAGAGCCGCGCAGTCAGCAGTCCTCAGCAGCAGAGCAGCATAACCCCAAACAAATCAGACGTGGGGCCTGATGGCCCCGATGCGGCGTGCGTTCCCCCTAAAACGGCAAACAATAAACACACGGCGGCTGGCGGTGTCCCGTGCGGTGCACCGTGCACCAACTTGTGCACATCACCCGCCAGTCGTCGATTGGTCCCGCTGCTGGTCGCGCGCGCCGAGGGTCTACTCTCTGCTGATGGGGGCCCTACGCGCCGCCGTGTGCTGGAAGCACGTCTTCGTGTTCTCGCTGGTACTCGTGGCCGCGCTGAAGCCTGTGAGTGCACCGCCCGGAGGATTGTGTGCCGCGTAAAATGTGCCGGAATGTGAAAAGTGCAGTGAAGTGAAATAGTGCTCCAAGTGGTCGTATGAAAGTGCAAAGTGTTCAAGTGTTGTGACCCGGAGTTTTTCCTGTGATTCTATGAGCTCCAATTTTCACCATTGCACGCTGAACGCTGGATTTGGATGCTTCTTCAACTTCAACTGGTTCGTAGTATTTTGGGTACATAGTAGCAAATTTTGTTACTGTTCCAGGTCCACGCCAAACCTGCATCCTTAGGCGCCACGTTTAACGCCCTAGTCAACCACGTCAGTAGCACAAACAGCAGCAACAATGCAAACGGGACGGTCGGGGGTACCATCGCCTCCACCTTGAACAGTGCTTCTGAGACGGGGTCACTCTCAGACCTCTACTCCAGGCTGAGCTCGTTCATCACAAGCTTGCTGGGCGCCGTATCGTCGTACTTGAGCGGTATCAACGATGATCCTGGTGTCAACACGGTTACATTTAATGTAAGTGCAACCGGGTCTCAGCCGAGCTCGGGATCGAACTCTACGACCACAACGACGACGGTGGCAACGACCAGCAGCACAGATTCCACAACAGAGTCAAGCACGACCACCAGTTCGACGAGCACGTCAGCCTCAACAACAACGGCGTCCACTTCGACGTCCAGCGCGTCTTCTACCAGGTATGTATTGCGTTGCAGATAATTTAATTTCGAAGAGCACAAATCAAAGGGTTTGCAATCTTAGAAGGCAGCTTTAATTGAATACACCATAATTCAATATTTTAAGTTTTTAAACAAATGAAAACATACTATCTGTTGAAGAGATTTCTTTTAAAGCCCCTCACGTTTGTTAGCAGCAGTCAAGCAACAACAGCAGATTCGGCAATACAAGCATCGAATTTATTAAGCGGCGTTGATGCAAACGGCGATACATTCGCATCCGTTAGTGTTTCCGTGCCAGGTGCAAGCGCTAGTGCTGACACAAGCACTGCCAATGGAACAAGCTCGAACAGCACAGCAAATACATCTAATAGGTAATTGAAAAGAGGGCATAAAAACGATTTCAAACCCTTTCAAATAGGAGTCTGCTTGTCTGATTGGAGTTGACAGAAGAGTAGTATTTCGGTCCACTTACATTCACAGTGGGTAAAAAAAAAAAACACTGACTTTAATGTTTCACTAGCACTGAGTGGGTCTAGCTGAAAACGTGCAAACGCGCACTGATAAAAGTTTGTTGGGTTCATTTTTTCTTTTTTGTACTCTACATGGCGAGCTCATCAATCCTCACGTTTAAGTTTTGGCAAACATTTCCTTTCAGGTGGACATTATGGATAGCATTTCCAGATTCCTCGTGAAAGCAGCTTTCAAACGAGCTACCATTAGGGTTCACTACCGATATGGTCCGCCTTTCGAAAATGTCGGTAATGAAAACCAAGTTATGGTAGCGGTTAATTTCGACCATAGCACGCTGCAAAGCTCGTTTGAAAGCTATTTTCACGAGGAATCTGGAAATGCTATCCACTTTCTAATGTTGTCCATCTGAAAAGAAATAGCATCCAATACCTAAATTGATGATTGCTGATATATCAGAAATAATGTCATGTGCACCATATGACCATTCAATGTTCACTCTTAAGTTTTCGGGGTATGCACATGAACATGCGTTGCACGGTAAAAAGGTTTCCTTGGATTTCAAGGACGGTAGGATAATTTCAGACTGTATCAGCTTAAGCGGTTAGCAGTTAGCACATTAGCAGATTAGAAGATGCTTTATGCATGATTTGAAGTTGTGTGACCAAAATTATAACTTTTAGCAAATTTTTGTGAGTCTTTATGATCCAAGAAATACCCGGCATCGCCAACCTTCCGCAGGATAATGATTTACGATTATTCCCGAGAGTTGTGCTAATCTCCCCCCTCCCCAAAAGAAGCAATGATCTCTGCTTTCCGTCGGGCGAGAGGAATGCTGGATGTTCGGGTCAGTATATTTCTTCATAGAAAGCATTTGAATGCCTAAATTATGTGCATAGTAAACAAATTTCGTCTGTAAATCTGCTAATCAGAACTGCTAATCTGCTAACTGCTAACCGCTTAACCTACTACAGCCTCAATATCGACCCCAGAAGTCCCAGAATCTGCTTTGAAATCCTCTGCTTCTAAGGGAAAGCCTTGGATTTCTTGGGCTGCAAGGGGATATGGGTATGGTCATGGCCATGGTGGGTTCACCCCCCCCCCCCTTGCCTTGAAAACATTTAGAAAGATCATAATTCAATTTTCATAAGAAACGGTCCCAATCAATACAATCAATGTATTTTTACAGCGGAGCGTCGTCTTCAAGTGACAGCACATCGTCCCCCAGTTCAACATCAACAACCAGCTCAGCTGACTCAACAGCATCATCCTCCACTTCTGCCGCAGCAAGCAGCAGTTCAAGCACTGCTGCGACTGACAGTTCTTCGACCACCACCAGCGATACTGCGTCAACCAGCACAACCACTGAAGATCCGAGCTCAACGACAACAGCATCTTTGACAAGCACCAATGCCGCAACAGCGGTTGACTCGTCAAGCACGGCGTCGTCCTCATCTACCGCATCCACGTCATCCAGGTAACTCAAAATTGCTTACGGTTTTACTAATTTTGGCAGAGCGACAACCAACTAGATGGATGCCGTACACCATTATATATTATTGGTCAATACACTGATATAGTTATAGTTTCACCCTACAATACTTGTGTGCAACAAGTGGGCAACCCTCACTTGCAAGTGCTTCACATAATATGTTGTACACATCAAAGTGTGCAACTCGACAGTTAGTGTGTTCTCGTTAGTGTTCGTCAAACTCCCTACTTGCAAACTTCTTTGAGAAAAGCATATTCTGTTAGAACACGTGAGTAGTCAACTGAGGGGTTTAGTATTTAGGAGTGCACAGTTCTAAACACAAGGAAAAGTTTACAAGGCAGTTTCATATTAAGAGTTAAAGGGCCGGCCACTTTATTTAAGAGAGTACTATACGTCAAGATGTCTTTCCATGGAATTAGAAAACGATAATAAACGTTTTTCCAGGACGAAATCAGAAGAAAGAAGAAGTAGCCGTGCCCACGATTAATTGCACGAGTACTGCAGAGCACACTATAACAGACGGAAAACATTTAACGTATAATAACAAATGTTTTTGTTACACAGCTCGTCTTCATCAACGACTGCAGTCTCCAGTGACAGTACGAGTACAGCAAATGCCGCAACCTCGACTACCGCTAGCGACAATACAAGCACTACAGATCCAAGCTCAACCACAACCACTTCTACGTCCAGTACATCGAGCTCATCGTCGACCACAGCGGCTCCAACCACAACTACTGGATCGTCAACGAGCACAGATGGGACGACTGCAACGGACTCGACCAGCACTTCCTCATCGTCAACAGGGTCATCGTCAACATCCTCTACCTCGTCAGCGACGTCTGGTAGTTCGACCACGGCAGCCGGCAGCAGTACTTCTAGTGCAGCGACTGATAGTAGCTCTACGACTACCAGTGACACGACGTCCACAACGACTGAAGATCCAAGTTCAACAACGACTACTGCCGCGTCTAGTACATCGACGTCAACTGACAGTTCAACAAGCACGACCACTGCAGACCCAAGCTCAACCACAACTGCTTCCACATCCACAACGTCATCGACTACAGAGGCACCAACAAGTGCATCGTCTTCGACGAGCACAGACGCAACGACTGCGGCTGGCTCTACCAGCACTTCTTCCTCGTCAACAGCATCCACGTCAGCATCGTCCAGTTCGTCAACGACGTCAAGTAGTTCAACCACTGCGGCCGCCAGCAGTACTTCTAGTGCAGCGACTGGCAGTAGCTCTACGACTACCAGTGACACGACATCCACAACGACTGAAGATCCAAGCTCAACGACTACTGCAGCATCGACCACATCGACATCCACTGACAGTACCTCGACTACCGCTAGTGACAGTACTTCAACCAGCACAACCACAGAAGATCCAAGCTCGACCACAACCACTTCTACTTCCACGACAACGTCATCGACCACAGAGTCACCGACAACAACCGTTGCCTCCTCGTCGACAAGTACAGGTGGAACGACTGC